TGGCGGGCCTTTTTTCTTTTGTTTTTTTTCATAGGAGATGGCTATGGGGGGATCTTTGTCTCGTTGTTTGGCGGAGGAAGAGCAGGAGGAGCGAGAAAAGGAGCGGGAAAAGGAGGAGTGGGAGGAGGAGCGGGAGGAGGTGCAGGCGAAGGAGGAGGGGAAACGGGAAGGGGCGGAGGAGCTGCGGGAGGAGGAGCGGGAGAAGGAGGAGCGGCAGGGGAAATGGGGAGGGGGTTAGGAGCGGGAGAAGGAGCACGAGGGGAAATGGGAGGGGCGGAGGAGGTGTGGATGGCAGGGCGGTAGAAGGAGCGGGAGGAGGAGCGGGAGGGGAAACCAGGAGGGGTTAACGAACGCGGGGGAGGCGAAGGAGTGGGAGGAGATATAGGTGTAGGAGGAGAAGCGGGAGGAGCACGAGGAAGAGCGGGAGAAGGAGCGGGAGGAGGAACTGGGGAAAGAGCAGGGGAAGCAGCGGGAGAAGGAGCAGCAGCAGGAGCGGGAGCGGGAGAAGGAGAGGACTTCCAAGCCAAAAAGCCAAATTACCACTTATGGTATATTTAGCATAAGCAAGTTCTTTTTTTTTTTTTTTTTTTTTTTTTTAGTATAAGCATAGTCTAAGATCACATCCTTCGAATAGCATCATAGCATAAGTAAAAGGTAACAAAGAAGCTAATCCTCCCATTTTGCACATATCTTGTTCATCAGACATTGCATGAATCACAAAACCTGCACTCAAAAAAAGTAGTGCTTTAAAAAGAGCATGGTTCATCAGATGAAATACACTCACAGAATAAGTGGAGATACCACAAGCGAATATCATATAGCCTAATTGGCTACAAGTAGAATAAGCAATAACCCTTTTTAAATCATTTTGTAAAATTCCTGTAGTTGCCGCAAAAAAGGATGTCATAGCTCCCACAAAAGTAATCACAGTTAAGGCCTTGGGTGCGTATTCAAATAAGGGAGAACACCTTGCCATCATGAAAACACCGTAATAAAATAAATACGCGCAGCTAACTAAATGCCATAAAGGCTGCGCGTACTCGGGCTTGGTTGGTGGTGATTTCTATATGTACATTCTTACCACCAATGATAATGAGAAAAGCTACGATTTGATTCAGCTAATTTATGAAGATCATCTCTTTTTTTTCTAGCAAATCCTTGTATTTCAGCAGATAAAGATTGATTCCCCAACCTGAAATCAACGGAACCAAAGTGCTGATGAGTCGGTGTACAGCGGAACCTTTGTGAGATTGTATTACAAAACGAGTTTGCGAAAGAAGTGTTTCCTGTGATTTCTTGGACGGAGCAACTCTGCTGACGAGCCCATGGGATTCAGACGCGAAGCGTCTGCTCTTCGAGCCTTTACCAAGGTGGAGAACGTCATGTGCTAAGAAATGGAATCCTTCTCCCGTAGTGACTATGCGAGTTTGATCAGGCACAAAGTGCAGGCCCATGGGTTGGAGCCATTGTGATAGGAACCCTTGAGGAGGAGAGGGAGGAGGAGCAGGAGAAGGAGTGGGAGCGGGGCTATGGCGGGATCTTTGTCACGTTGTTTGGCGGAGGAGAAACGGGAAGGGGAGGAGGAGGAGGAGTGGGAGGAGCGGGAGAAGGAGTGGGGGGAGCGGGAGAAGGCGCGGGAGGAGGAGTAGGAGAAGGAGCGGGGAAGGAGCGGGAGCGGGGCTATGGCGCGGGAAGAGGAGCGGGAGAAGGAGGGGGAGGAGGAACGGGTGGAAGACCAGGAGAAGCAGCGGGAGGAGAGCAGCAGGAGGAGCGGGAGGAGCAGCAAGAGGGGGAGCGGAAGAAGGAGAGTGTGGCATACTCAGTACCACACGGGCCCAGCAGGGCCCGACCAGGTAGACTAGGGGTCCATAGGTGTAGGGCCTGTTTCGTTTCAGCCTAAAGGCCTGAAAACGAGGGCCTACAGGCCCTGTGTCGTTTCAGCCTAAAAGCCTCAAAACGAGGGCCTACAGACCCTGTGTCGTTTCAGCCTAAAAGCCTGAAAACGAGGGCCATTTTCAGGCCCTCATAAAGTCGACCTGCCCTGAAACTTAGGCACCAGACAAGGGTTTTAGCACAGGCCATTTTGGGCCTGTTTTCAAGACAACCTTTGTTTGAACTTCAACGCCAGGGTCTGGCACGTTTTGGCATTGGCAAGAGCAGCCTCCTGGACGGGCCAGC